TATTGTTGGGCCCCTCCTGGGGCCGTCCGCGGCCGCCTCTGGGGCCATCTTGGGGCGGCAGAGGCGCTTCGAAAGCGAAAAGGCGAGGAGCGTCGTTCGGGTCCTTTTCACGCTGGGAGGGTCTGGGCCTCTCGGGACGCCCTTGGGGAGGCTCGGGAAGGCCCTTCCGGGAGCGTCCTCTCGGGACGGCCTCTCGGGGCAGCCCGGGAAGGTCTCGGTGTCCTCTTTGACACCTCTTGAAGACGCGCTGGGGGATCTGTTGAGCCATCTTGGGGTGTGCTGGGCCATCTTGGAGGTCATCTTGGCTGCATGGTATTGCGGGGCATTGCAGGGGTGTGGTCTGCAGGGGTATTGCAGGGCATTTCGGTGACGTGCTGCAGGGCCTGGCAGGGATTTGTGCAGGGCCTCGACAGGGGAGCCTTGCCGGGCATCGCAGGCGGTGCGGCGAGGTCCGGGGGAGAGGGCGGGGAGAGGAGGATGAGGAGGAGGAGGAGGAGGAGGAGGAGGACCAGTGTAAACCCAAGAGGCATCAACGATGTTGGCATAAACCCCCTCTCCAAGCTCCCTCTTCATAGGCCCCTGAAACAGGTTCAATGTTTCTGACGGAGCTGCCTCGTTGGAAGACAACTGTTTGAAGACCCTGGAGCATGCCAAAATATTGTTCTCGGGATTCCAACGCCACGGATCAACCTGACTGCGTCTTGACGATCCTGAATCGTGTCAGAGCGCCACTCTTGGGACTTGAACACCGCGAATCAACATAACTTGTGCACCCTCATAAGCCTGAATCCGTCATAACACAATTTCTGGTACGCTGATCATGAAATCCGTGAAACTCTTGCAATGTTTAATACGAATGTGCGCGGCGCTAAGGCGAGAGCCACGTTTTGAAAAGGAGCCGCCCTCAATCCGTGAAACGATTGCAACTGTTCATGACAAGTGTGCGCAGCGCTGAGGCGAGAGCCACATTTTGAAAACCATTCGCCCACAATCCGTGAAACTCCTTGCAAGTTTGAAAAACCAATGTGCGCGGCGCAAAGGCGAGAGCCACATATGGAAAACCGCTCGCCCCCAACCCGTGAAACCCTTACACATGTATGACATCGAACATGTGCGCGGCGCGGAGGCGAGAGCCACGTTTTGAAAACCACTCGCCCTCAATGCGTGAAACTTTTGCAGAGTCGTAAGACGAGTGTGCGCGGCGCTAAGACGAGAGCCACATGTTGAAAACCACCCGCCCTCCGTCCGTGAATGTGTTGTCAGTTTTAAGTTTCAGGGTCTTGATTGGTGAGGAAGGCTCAGGCGAAACGCCCGGCCCGCCCTACAAAATGGTCCGGGGTGCGACATGGAGAAGATATTCATGAGGAGGGGGAATGAAGGAGGAGGAGGAGGAGGGGGAGGAGGGGGAGGGGGAGGAGGATGGGGGAGGAGGAGGAGGAGGGAGGAGGAGGAGGAGGAGGAGGAGGATGGGGGAGGAGGAGGAGGAGAGGAGGATGGAGGAGGAAGAGAGGAGGAGGAGGAGGAGGACGAGGAGGAGCACTGCGCGAGGGGTGGACCGCCAGAGGCTGGAGCGAGCCCGCTCCCCGGGGCCGCCGCCCCCCTGTGGGGCGCGAGGGGCCCGTCGGGGCAGCTTCGGGCCAGCGGCCGCGCTGCGCCCCGCGCCCGCCGTTTAACCGCGTCTTCCTTCTGCGTTGTTTCCGTTGTTCCGCGATAGTCCCGGTTATCCTCGTCGGGCGAAGAGACACTATGCACATGCACGATCGGCAAAGGCCCATCCTTGACCCCAGGCTCGGTGCATATGCCTCCCTGGCCAAGGTAGGAGGGCGTATGCACCGATCCTGGGCTCAGGATGAGCCTGGCCAGAATCGGTGTATGTGCATAGTTCTTTTTCCTTTATCTTGTGGAAGACGATCATAGGGGAACGCCAGGGGAACAGAACGGGGAACAACATAGGGAGACAAAAGAGTGACCCAGGGGAGCAGAAAGTGCCATGAGCATAAAATCTCGGAGGTCCGCGCGGATTTCTCGCATCGGCGCTGGGGCCCCCCAGCGGCGCCTCCGGCGCCGCCCCTGGCGCGCTCCGCGCGACAGGGAGGGGGGTCCAGCGCCGATCCGAGAAGTCCGCGCGGGCCTCCGAGTTGTTATGTTTATGCCATTTGTTGTTCCCCTAGATCAGTGGAGAGGAAGCATGTTGCCAAATGATTTCCAGGTGTCTAGAACATGTTATAAAACTGATATGAATATATATATATATATATATAACATGTTTTAAACATGTTTGGACATGTTTCCGATACTTCAAGCACAGTTTCAATTCGATGATAGGACTGTTAGGGTGTCCATTGTCGTGGCAACCGCAAGGTTATTCCCATCCATATTGCATATCTTCGGGAGCCCTGAGTCGGGGGTGGCCAAGAGGGGGGTGATGACTAGGGGGGATTCTTGGCGTGGGCCATGATATTTCCTCAGATTTCATGGCGCCTCTTCTTATTTCATTGCGTCCCTGGCCCTTCCCTGATTCGCGCACATGCCGCCGGCCATGATTTGCGCCCCCCCCCTCTTGGACGCCCCCCTCTTGGCCGCCCCCGACTGAGGCGGGGCCAATACAAACGGGGGTCGGTCAGAGCGCCGGATCTTGCAGGATCCTGAAGAGCCAGAGGCGCACGGGCCCGGGCTTGGGTGCAGGATCCTGCAGTATCTTGCGAGGCACGATCGACCCGGGTCTGCGTTGACTCGGGACTGCAGATGCCCGATATTTTATGCAGTCGTATTTGGGTTTGTTTCCTCAGTGGCGCCCCTGGGATGGGCTCCCTTGGGCGCGTCACCGTGCAGGACTTGCCCTGAATGCGGCCTCGGCTTCGAGGCCCTGTTATCACAGAGAGCGAGCCGCTGCCCTTCCTCTTCGCCCTCCGCCGCTCCCCTGCCTCTTCGCCCTCCCCCAGCCTGACCTGTTCTGCTTCTTCCCCGCTTCAAGGGCGTGGGCTCCCCCTGGCCCCCGCCGCTAGTTCCAGGTGCTTTTCCAGGCCGCTGCGCGGCCCCTCCGGGTCTTCTTGTTCCTGAATCAGGAAAGGGAAAAACACACAGACACAATTATCATCGATTCCTCAGAGAATGTGGGAAACTATGGGAAGCGGGGGGGAAGACAATAACCCAGAACATATTGGAAAGTATGGGGAATCTGTTGATTTCTGTGTATTTGTTTGTGTGTCCCAGGGCCCCTTCACCGAAGCGTGTTCGGCTCGGACGCGCTCTCAGCGTCCCTCATCCCTCACCACCCCTCCCTCCCTCCCTCCCTCCCTCCTTCCCTCCCTCCCTCCCTCCCCCCATCCCTCCCCCCTCCTCCCCTCCATTCCCCTCCCGTCGCTGAGGGCCCCAGCTTTGGAGCTGGCCTCTCGGCGGATGGCAGCTGGTGCGAATTCGAGTGTTGCTCTCCTGCCTATGGTGCAGGGCCTGGCGACCCAGCAGAAGTGATGCCGGGTTCTTATCCGAGTGATTGCTGGACTTTGATGGTTGTCAGTGCCTCGATATATTTTTGAACATTTTCCATGCCTGCCTGTCAATCTCTGCGGAAGCTCGCCCGAGCAGTCGCCTACAGCAACAAAAACACCCTCCTATCCCTTACGTGTCTGATGAAGTGAACCGCTCCTTCCCTCCCCATCCACACTCCTCTCCCCCTGACGAGGACGGAGGGATTTGCGAGGGAGAGGTGGAGGGAAGAGGGTGAGGAGGACGAGGAGGACCAGGACGATAGAGGGCGGAGAAGGGTTTGATCATGGCGGAGGAAGTCGTGAAGGAGATGCGGACACGATGTTTGCGATTACTTGTGCCACGTCACACCTGTCGACAACCGGCGACTGTCGAAAGCCGTGTCTATGAGCTCACTGGGGACGGGGTCTCTGCGAACGTCGTCACGCTCAGGGCAAGTCCGACGCCGATGAAACATACTGTCCGAGGGGGCCCCGCACTTCTCGCAGCCTGCTGGACACACGTAGCGCTTACTACGGGTAAACGTACGTGTCCGCACCGCCTCCCCAGCAGCGGCGCGCGGCGTGCTCTTCTCCAAGGGCGTGAATTTCCTCGAAGCGAGACACGCACTCACCGCGTCATATGACTCGCGGGTGGACAGACCTCCTACCCTGACACGTCGATTGAGGAATTGGCCGTTTTCGGTTCGCGAGAGGGCGTCGCGGCCGTCATTTTTGCGGGTCCAGGTCCGTTGGTTTTGGTCCCAGGCCGTTTTCACTAAGGGGAGGTCTACTAAAGGGAGGTTTGTCCACCGCCGAATGACAGACGGTGAACAAAACGATGTTTGGCGCCGATGTCCCTCGCCAGCTGCCTCAAGACCGCATGTTTGAAGCGTGCCCTGAGGAGCGAGGGGGAGGTGGAGAAAAGTTCGCGCGTGGTGCCCACATCGTCCCGAGGGGAGCAGAACGATGGCATAGACCGACCTATCCTGGAGAGGGTCATGAGCATGGCCGAGATCGGGCCAGACACAGTCCGCCACGAGGCGACACCTTTAGCCTCGACCGCCTCTCAAAGCCGCCGCAGCTGTGGGAGGCCGGAGCCATGGCCACGAATCCTAGCATTTGGCGGCCCAGACCTCGCGGTGCCAGCGGGCCACACAAGCAACTTGGGTGAGCCAGGTGGGGTCATTTCTCCAGGAGCAACAGAACCCTCAGCGACCCCTGAGCAGCGGAGGGTTTGAGCACCGACGCGAAAGATCTCCGAAGGCTCAGAAGCTCCTGGGGGAGACCCCATAACATTCACACCCATAGTTGATGACAGGGGGAAGGCCAGCAATCCAAAGACGACGGGCACGACGACCGATAGTGCCGGCCAATTTGCCAACTCGTCGAGCTCTGGCCTGCCCAGCGCGAAGACGGGACTTCGCTCTGGAGTTACGCCCAAGGGCCCGAAACGACTTCCCTTGAGTGAGGTGGTTGGCAGGAGGACGAGGACGAGGAGCAGGAGGAGGACGAGGAGGATCAGGGAGGACTGGTAGTTGCCCTTTCGGCCCTGGGCGGCCTGCCCCTTGGGATTGGCCGCGCGACCACGGGCCCGCCATGAAGTCGCGGTCGCGGCAGAAGAACATCCACAAGGACACGCGCTCCGACGAGGCGGCGGAGGGGAGGACGGGGAGGGCCAGTCAAGGGCAGAGAGGGGCAGGTCAGAGGAGGAAGAGGTACCCATACCTCTACCCTTCGGCCGTTTTCCCCTTTTTCGGGGCCTCCTGGGAGGCCCTCGTCGCCACCGCTGGATTCGCCTCGAAATTCTGGTCAGAACGCACCCTGGGAGAGGTCCGGGGGGTAGCGGTATCAGTACATGCTGGTTTCCCCAGACACGCGCAGAGGGGGGTAAGGGGAGGGGGGAAGGCTTCTAAAGAAGCACCCCTGTTTCTTAGAAGGCGCGGGCCTCGTCTGTAGATGGAGGGCCCTCCCTCGCCTTTTGAGAAGGAGCTTCCCTCTGAGAAGCCTTCCCCCCTCCCTCTACCCCCCTTCTGCGCGCCGCCAAGAGGGCAGGTTGAGGAATGAGGAAGAGCACGGGGAGGAGGGAGGAGGAGGAGGAGGAGGAGGAGGAGGAGGAAGAGGAAGAGGAGCAGCAGCAGCAGCAACAGCAGCAACAGCAGCAGCAGCAGCAGCAGCAGAATGAGGAGGAACATTGGCACAAACAGAAGTCGTCGGGAGGAATCGTAGGAGGACGGGCGGGAGGAACATGATGAGTACGATTCTACGTGACGAGGGGCAGCACCATCATGAGCAGCAGTGCCAGCAGCATCTGCCAACAACAGCAGCAGACGAAGGCACGTACGTGTTTCCATGCCGTGCGAAACGGTAGCATCGCGATGCCATGTGAGTGAGCAGGCAGAACTCGTCATATCCACCTTGGTCTGGGCACCCTTTTGCATGTGGCGTACAAGGAAGTGTGAGGGGCGGGGCGGCGCTGCTGCTCCTCATCTCGTGGGGGGTCCGCGTGCCGCTCGCGCGGGACTGGCAGGATGGACGCACCCGCGTGGCGCGTCTGCCGCAGGTGCCCCGCCCGGCTCAATCGGATGCTCCGCAGGGCACCGATGGGGTTGCGCGGGAGCGCCGCTTGCTTCCCGTGGAGCTTGTGGTCGCTCCCCGTGACGGCACCGCGCAGAGGCACTATCGTCTCTGACCCGTGGGGGTTCGTGGAGGTCGTGCTCTGCGGCGCGAGCGGGTTTGGGGCGAGCGGCCGACCGTCGACTCTTCTTCGGAGCTCGGGCTCGTGAGAGGGCCAACGCGTACGACTGCACTCCAGGCTGCAGGAGGTGGTTTGCCAGAGGTCTACCTGGCGAGATCTCTCTCTCGCTTCGGAGGAGGGGGGGCGCCGCGAGGGCTGCGGCCCTGCGACGGCAGGCTCCTCGTCCTCCTGGTACGTTGCCGCTGGGGTGGGGGGCGGGGGTGAACGACGAGCCATCTGCGGCCCCCCCTTGCGACGTCGTCGCCGTCGTCGTGGTGGCCGTCACCTTCCCGCCCCACCCCCACCCCTCCCCCGCTCGTCCCGCTCTCCGTTCCCTCATTCGCCATGTCCTCGTCCTCCCTCGGCGCCCGCTCCCCCGGGGGCTCCCGCCGTGGGCCCGGCACCTCCCCCGCCTGCCTCTTGCGCACCGGCGGCCCCTGGCCGACGCGTCCTCCTCCGGTGGCCCCTGTGTCGTGCGCGCCGCCTCCGTCGTCCAGCCATCCCTTTTGGCTCAAGTGCTTCTTGAGCGACACGGTGAAACGCCATCGAGCGTGTCGTATGTTTCTTCACACTCTGCCCACGCAGTGTGCCCGACGTCGAGGCAGGCGAGTCGCGACCTTCATCGGAAGCTTGCGCTGGTACGCGAAGTGGTGTTTCGGCTGCAGGATTAAGCCCGTATGTCCCTGAAAGCTCGTGTGACCCTGCACAAGGTGATCCCTGAGAGCCCCGAAGCTTCCGATCGAGCGCATCGTGAAAGTATGCCAGTGCGGTGCCCTTCCTGCCGCCATGGTACACCCTGCCTGCTGACCCGCCGTTTAGCCCCATGCGGCACCGACTCGATCCTGCTCGAGGGGCCCGTGCTGAACAGCGAGGTATTCATCAATGGAATCAAGCGTCCGACCGATGCCTGGGATGAGGGCTCGAGCCTGGACGCGTACAAGGACTTGCTGACCCTGTCAAGCGACAGCGTGGACTCCCCTGAGGAATTCCCCAGCATCGGAGCATCCTTCTTGAAACCATATGTGGGATCCTAGCTTCTACATCGTTCCCCGACGGCGCTCGATACGGAACCAGGGAGGGTGGCTGGCGACGCGGACAATTCCGAGCCGATGTTGACAGACCGTGACCACATGTATAGCTACCTCGCGCAGAAGATTGGTGGCTTTGCCCCCGGCTCTGGGTCGGCCCTGTTGAATGGGGCGGAGCAGATCATGACGACATATAGCGCCACTGGCGTCCGCAGGCTCGCTGCGTTCTTCACGCCATCACGCCCGTCTCCTTTGTTTCAACACCCGATATGGTGCATGGGGAGTTCATCAGCACGAAGAGTGTGAACGCGCGCATGGGGCACATCCGCAAACAATCGTTTGACCTAGCTTTTTGTAGTTGACGGACAACCCCATTGGCCCAAGGAAGGCAGGAACCGTATGTTTGTGTCACAGAACGACTGGACCCGAGGAGAAGCTGGCGCCGCCGATGGATGCATAATGCGTTCAGTGCCGTTTTTGATACATGCTCCGCGTGCGGATCATGTGATACAAATGCAGGGATTTAGTATTAAAAACAACGATGAGTTCATGCATCAATTTATGCATGAATGAATCATGTATTAAAATTCCTATAGTAACAAAAAAACCTTATGTATTAAAAACTGCCCTGTTCTGGTTGCTCCTGGACCTGGCCCCGCCGTGATCGTGGACAAGGCGAACACCGCGCCCGCCGACTCGAGGAGTGATCCGCCCGCAGACTCCTTGCCGACGGTGTACTGCCCGCGGCGCGACTCCACCGCCGAAGCAGCCCCGATTTGGCGGCGGCTCTCCACCGTCCACCAGATCTCGCTCCGAGGCCTGCAGCTCTCCAAGCTGCGGCGCCGAAGGTTTCGCAGGACGTGCTCGACCAGCTGGAGGAGGAATTCGACCGAAGAGCACGAGGGCCAGCCGAAGCCGCTCGGCGCCCACACCCTCGTTCAAAGTGGACAAGGCGGCGAGGCCGAGCGAGGCGGGGGCGAGAAACCAAAGACGGTGGTCTTCATGCAATGCGCGGGCTACACCCTCGCCGCGGTCGGCGCCGCGCTGGATGGCATCAAGCAGAAGCTGGTCATCGCCCGCGTTCGTCTGAGCCTGGCTGCGGAATTCTTCCACGTTGCGTTGCGTGGATGCCGGTCGTCGATCAGCTCGGGAAGGTCCCCGCCTGACTGAGGCAGCGCGTTGGCTTGGAGAGGAAACAATCCATTCTGATGTCTGGTTCCGCTGAATCCGCTTTCGCTTCCTTCAAGTTTTGTCGCTGTATCTCATGGTTGCGCTGCCCTGGGACGGGGGCAGGGTGGAGGTGGTGGGCCCTGATAGTATGGGGGGGCCTTCGTAGGAAGCCTGCAGGGACCCTGACACTGGACGCCTCTTTCTTTTTGGAGATGTGGCCGGACCGCGGCAGCGCTGACCCCCGACAGCAGCGACCTCTGGAAGGGGCACTCTGGATTTGCTGGCCTCTTGGAGGGCAGGCGGCAGACAGCGCCGCGCTCCGAGCTGATGGCCCTCTGCGCTGCTGCAGAGAGAAGCGCAGGCACCATCACTTCTGTTACAGTCGGGGCCCTGAAGAAGGAACCCTTCTCGTTGGGGAGGGGCTCCATGTTCTTTAATTGTTTCGCAGCTTGCCTTGGATTGCCCTTAGGTTTTCGATGCGAAATCGAAGTTCAACTTATGGAAAATAGGGGCCTAGTTCCTTCTTTAGGGTTCCTTAGGTCAACGCCCCGACTGTAATTTCTGTTACTGACCATCAGCCCCTCCTTCATGGTTTGGGTCAGGGTTAGGCCTGAAAGCTGGATGCGACGCGTCAAGAATGCGGATCTCTGGGCACGCCTGCGCAGGGCTTGGGAGCAAGCGCCTGGGCGCGACGTGGCCTTGGTCAGCCGCACCCCGTCGCACCAAGATGAATCCCCCGAGCTCGGAGGAGGAGGAAGAGGAGCAGGAGGAGGGGGAGGAGGAGGAGGGGGAGGAGGAGGGGGAGGAGACGAAGGAGGAGGAGGAGGAGGAGGAGGAGGAGGAGGAGGAGGAGGAAGCGCCAGGCAGGCGGCCTTCTTCTGCCCACGGCAGCTTTGCCGCGGATGCACGGGCCGCCAGAGGGGCGGCCCAGAATTGGAGCGCCGCCGTGCCCCTCGGCCTCGTGCGCCGACCGGCGGAGTGCCGTCGCTGCGCTCGAAGCGCGCGCCCGCGCGACGGCCGCCGCCCGTGCTGGCTGGCGCGGGCGGGGCCCCTCGGGGGGGAGAGGGCCGGGGCCCGGCGGCGGCCCCGGCAGCCCACCCACCCCTTCCTCTTCCTCCTCACTACAAGCTTCTCGGTCCTCTCTCCTCCTTCTCTCCTCCTCCTCCTCTTCCTCCTCCTCCTCCTCCTCCTCCTCCTCCTCCTCCTCCTCCTCCTCCTCCTCCTCCTCCCCCTCCTCCTCTTCGGCGTTGCTCGCTGCGTGCCCCAGGGCTGGACCCAGACGGCGTTGTGGCGATTTCGTGGGCCGCTTCCGGTCCGATGTCGTTCTGCGGGAGAGGCGGGCTCGAGGCGAGGGAAAGCGAGAGCAAAACGAAAACGAAAAACACCGTTTAGGTTCAGCCCTGGGGCCCGGAGGCAGCCCGGGCAGTCCACCCGCTCCCTCACCCTCCAAGCCTCTTCCCACCGTTAAGTCGGGCCTGTCCCTCTACAGGGGGAATAGTCAAAAATAGTCTGGGGACTTCTTCTTTTTTGAGTCTGTTTGGGCATCTTTGGGGCATTTTTCTGTGTATTTTTAAATTTTCCGCCCCAAAGCCGCCTGTAGGGGGACACGCCCGACTAACCCCACCGCTCTGAGGCGCGCGGCGAGCAGTGGCGCTGCTCGCCGCGCGCCCGGCTCGTCGACGATCGCAGGCCTGACGCCATTGCCCTCTCCCCCATGCCCAGGCCCGCCTCCAGTTCCTGGCCTGCCTCCGGATATTCACCTCCCTGTGCATGCGGTTGAGGGGTTCTGATGGCGATGGCGTCGCGGCCGACCCACGGCCATTGCACCACCTGCCCCCGCAGTTTGCTGAACTGCTTCATCCAGGAGGGAAAAAACACACAGACACAATGAATCGTCGATTCCCCAGAAAATGCAGGAAAATACGGGAAGCGGGGGGGGATGACAAAAGCCCAGAAAACATAGGAAAATATTTGGAATGCTGTCACTTGTGCCTATTTATTTGTGTGTCCCAGGGCCCCTTCATTCATGTGTATAGTGGCCGCTGTGCCGCCCATGATGCTGCCGCGGATATTTCTGATTCAGGACTGGCCCGTGGCCGTGACAGCGCCGCTTCTGCGATAGGGGAGGAGAAGGTCGTCGCCGCCGCCGTCGTCGTCGTCGTCGTCCTTCTCCTCCCCCCCTCTCCTCCCCCCTCCCCCTCACACTCTTCTCCCCGGCGAATTCCTGAGATGATCGGTTGCTTCTGCTGGGGACCTCGCGAACTGTGAAGGCCATGCTCCGTTTGAGTTTCAGCTCCCAAGTTTGGCGCCGTTGTGCGCCGTGCGCCTGTCCCTGCCGCCGGGGTCGCTGGCCTGGGCCCTGCAGGCCGCAGACGTCGGCCGAGTCGCCAAGGAAGCGCATAGGAGGACATGAATGGTACCTCTGAGGATGTCTGCAATGATGACGGTGATGTCGGCGGTGATGATTACGGTCTCGGCGACGATGGTAAGGATGAGGAGGAGGAGGAAGAGGAGAAGGAGGGAGGCACCGTAGGAGGGGATGACGATTAGAATGATACACATGACGACAACGATACGGATAATAATGATGATGTACGACTAAGCATACCGGTATTGTAATGAGTAAAAAGAATAATGATAATAATAATAGTCATGAAACGACACAGAAATATAATGATGGTGATGACGATGACGATGACGATGACGATGACGATGACTGATGATGATGATGATGATGATGATGATGATGATGATGATGATGATGATGATGATGATGATGATGATGATGATGATGATGAGATGATGATGATGATGATGGTGGGGTGGTGGTGGTGGTGGTGATTGTTTGATGATGATGTGGATGTGATGATGATGATGATGATGATGATGATGCTGCTGATGATGTGTGGTGGGTGGATGATGATGTGATGATGATGATGGTTGATGCTGTCGGTGGTGGGGATGTGATGATGATGATGATGATGATGATGATGATGAGGATGAGGAGGAGGAGGAGGAGGAGGAGGGAGAGGAGGGAGAGGAGGAGGAGGAAAAGGATGAGAAGGAGGAGGAAGTGGAGGAGGAGGAGGAAAAGGGGGATGAGAAGGAGGACGCGAAGAAAAGTTATCCGGGCGATGGACCCACGCATATGATAGAGGCAGGCGGGACGAAGGATGGGCAGGTCCTTGTGATGCCACGAAGCGTTTGAACGGTGTGCCGACATGGGTGCCGGGCACCCATAGGAACCGAGGAGGAGAAGGAGGAGCAGGAGGATGAAAAGGAGGAGGAGGAGGATCGCAGGAGGAAACATGAGGGTGAAAAGGAGGAGGAGGAGGAGGAGGAGGAGGAGGAGAAGGTGGGGGTCGCCAGGAGGCAGGAGGAGGATGAGAAGGAGGAGAAGGAGGAGGTCGCCAGGAGGCAGCAGGCAGCAGGATCGAGAAAAATGATCCTAGATCCCCGATCGAGGGTCGGAGGCCGATCCTCCTCCTCCTCCTCCTCCTACTCCTCCTACTCCTCCTACTCCTCCTCCTCCTCCTTCTCCTCCTCCTCCTCCTTCTCCTCCTCCTTCCCCTCCTCCTCCTCCTCCTCCTCCTCCTCCTCCTCCTCCTCCTGGTGCTCCTCTTCGTGTCGAAGGGACGAGGGAGGGTGGCGCCCTGCCCCGCGCCAGGTGAAGGCGGCGGTGGCTGAGCGCCGGCGACTGGTCGGCGAGGCAGGGCCCTTTCCTCCCCCCGGCTGGGCTGCAAGGGTCCTCCTCCCCCCTCCCTGGCAAGAGGAGGAGGGTGAGGAGAGAGGGAGGGAGGGGCGGGGACGAGGAGGACGAGGGAGAAGCGGCGACGAGGAGGAGGAGGAGGCACGAAGAGAGAGAGAGAGAGAGGGTGGAAGTAGGGAGGGAGGGGGGGAAGGAAACAGGAGGAGGAGAAGGAGGCCAGAGATGCTGGGAGGGGGGGAAGGAGCGAGGAGCGAGGGGGGGAGGAAAAAGGGGGAGGAAAATGAGGAGGAAGAAGGAACTGCAGGGAGGAAGGGAGGGAGGAGAGAGTGAGGGAGGGAAAGAGGATGAGGAGGATGAGGAGGACGAGGAGGAGGAGGAGAAGGAGGAGGAGGAGGAGGGGGAGTTGATGGGAGGAGGAGGAGAAGGGGGAGAAGGGGGAGAATAGGTGGAAGTCCCCGTCCTGTCCCTGTCTCGCACATGAGTATCCCCCTCCTGATTCTTCTCCTCCTCCTCCTCCTCCTCCTCCTCCTCCTCCTCCTCCTCTGCCTCATTATCGTGTTTCTCCTCCCCTCTCCTCCTTGCTGTCGTCGTGCCACTCCTGCTCCCCACAGACATCCTCCTTCAAACTCTTGTCTGCCATGCTTGACAACGCCGTTCTCCTTCCTCCTCCCCTTGTTTTGTTGCTTATCCTCCTCCTACGTTTCCTCCTGGCCCTCTTTTCTCCCTACTCTTCCTCCTCCTCCTCCTCCTCTTCATGGTCCTGCTCCTTTCCCCCATCCTCCCCATATCCCCCGTCTCGTGCCGCCTCCTCCCTCCCTCACCTCCAGAGCTCCCCTCTATGATCCACCGCCGACGTACCCGCCACCCGATGCCGGCCCGGCGGCGAAGACTGCTCGCGCGGCGCCACCCGAGCCCGCGCGGGGAAGTGCACGAGCCGAAGCGAGGCCGCGAGCGGGGACGTGCGACCGAGCCGTGGAGGAGGAGGAGGAGGAGGAGGAGGAGGAGGAGGAGGAGGAGGAGGAGAAATGATAATAATAATACTAATGATAATAATAATGATAATCATGATAATAATAATAATAAGAAAAATAATAATAAGAATAAGAATAAGAATAAGAATAATAATAATACGAATACGAAGACGTTACCTTCGCCGGAAAGCTCGAGCTGCCGTCCGACACTGCTGCCGCGGCGCAAACTGGCTCCACCAAGCGCTGCGGGCCTGGAGCGGCAGGGCGCGCCGTTGTCCGACGTGTCCTGCTCGGCGCGAGACTCCCGGAGCGCTCTCTGGATCGCACGTCGGCCGAGTGTCTGGGAAGGGCCTTTGGGTGGTGGGCGCTCGCGGGCGGCAACGAGGGGGGTGTTGACTGGGGGAGGGGGATATCATGTCGGGGGCCATGATAGCTCCCCAGATTTCACGGCGCCTCCTCGCATTTCAATACGTCCCGGGCCCCCCTTGGGCCGCGCAAGTGCCGCCAGCCATGACCAGAGGGGGGTAGCCGGAGGGGCGAAGGGGTTTCTCAGAAGCACCGGCGCCTTCTAAGAAGCAGCCTCCTTCTAAGGAGCCTTCCCCCCTCCCCCTACCCCCTTGTGCGCGCCGCCAGCCATGATTTGCGCCCCCCCCTCTTGAACGTCCCCCTCCTGGCCGCCCCCCCGAAGCACCTCCACATCCACGGCCCGGCGGGCCGCCAGGCTGCTGTGGGCCGAGGCCCCGCCCCCCTCCCGGCGCGGGGCGCTTGCTCCGCGGATGCCGCGCGCGGAGGGCCTCCTCCTCCTCCTCCCCCTCCTCCTCCTCCTCCTCCTCCTCCTCCTCCTCCTCCTCCTCCTCCGCGGATGCCGTGCGCGGAGGGTCTCTCCACGCGACCGCACATCCGCGGTGCGCCGTCTGAGTAAGCGGCGCATCTCGACCAGCACCCAGTCATAGGCTGCGAGGCGATGAGTCCCCAGCTGGCTGCTTGGTCTAGTGGCATGATTCTCGCTTCGGGTGCGAGAGGTCCCGGGTTCAATTCCCGGAGCATCCCCATGTCTGCGCCATTCCCCCGGTCGGGACGATCGGCATGGGTGCGGAAAGAACGGGCACAGTCAAGACGCTGAAATACGGAACAGTTTGGGTTCGGAAGGGGCTCGGTGTTCCTCAGGTTCCTCCAGTGCTGTTCCTCTTGCCCTCCTGGGGGGGGGGCACGGGGGCGCTTGCGGGGCCAAGAAGGCGCTTCGTTCCTTATCTCGCGTTCCTTCTTTCAGCGGCCCGGCTGTACGGAAAGAGTGGGCACGGTGCCCAACAGCAGTCCCTGTTCATTCTGAACCCCACTCGCTGTCCGCGCCGCCGCGGGCGTTGCTGTTTGAAGGCGAACGAGCCGCCTGCCCCACAGCGGCCGCTGCCGGTGTTGGGCAGCACTTGTTGTTGGGCAGTGTACGCACCCCAAGGTCAACGCATCAGAAGTGGCTTCGCCTTCATCGAGGCGCAGCTGTACGTCCCTCTCGTGCCGCTGCTCTACTTCGTCTGGGTGCTCGCGCTGGTCGTCCTCGGCTCGTTCGACCTCCCATGTCGAGATACAGTGGTGGAGCGTTGAATTCAAAAAAAAAAAAAAAAAAAAAACGGACCGCGAGGGCGGGGATATGGACATGCTCCCAGACAGCGGACGTCGAGATGCCTTCTCGGCACGGGGCGCCCCGACCCCCTACCCCAGAGCCCGCCTCTCGACCCCCGTCGTTTTTCCTGCCGACCCCAGGGCCCAGCGAGGGCCCCCAGTCGGGTGTTGCTAGCAGTGCCCCTGGCCCAGGGTGCCCCCAGGATTCTCGGGGTGGCCGAGACGGCCTCCAGAGCACCCCGAGCGAGGCCCAGAGGGCCCCAGGGGTTCAAGACTGGAGCGAACAGCCGGGAGAACTTTGGGCCAGGGGCACTTCTGGCAACACCCGACCCAGAGGCCGAGCACCGCGAAGAACCTCCCGCCTTGGCTTCCGTCCGGGGCTCGCCGCCCGCGGGGCCCGCTGGCGCTCGGCGCTCGCTCGCGCTCCCCCCCCCGGTGGATTGCCCAGCGTCTTCCTCCCCCTCCTCCTCCTCCTCCTCCTCTCCTCCTCCTCCTCTCCCTTCCTTCCTCCTCCTCCTCCCCTCCCTCTCCTCCTCCTCCTCCTCCTCCTCCCCTCCTCCTCCTCCTCCTCCTCCTCCTCCCCTCCTCCTCCCGCCCCCCCCTGTCGACTTCCCGCCCTCCTCCGCCGCGGCTCGGGCCAGAGTCGGGGCCATAGAAGCATCGCTCTGGGCGCACCCTGGAGGAGGGGCGTATCAGCGCCAAGCTGCGTTCGCTCCCGAACCCCGCCTTGGGCTACACCCCCCCCCCGGCGCACGTTCGCCGCAGCTCGAGGATCGCTGTGGACTTCCGCCCTCCTCCGCCGCGGCGCCCCCGGACCCGGCCTCCGCCCCGCGCGGCGGCCTCTCCTCCTCCTTCCTCCTTCTCCTCCCTTCCTACCTCTCCTCCTCGCCTCCTCGCTCCTCGCTCCTCCTCCTCCTCCTCCTCTCCTCTTCCTCCTCTCTTCTCCTCATCCTCCTCCTCTCCTTCTATCCTCTCCTCCTCCTCCTCCTCCTCCTCTCCTTCCTCCTCCTCTCCTCCTCCTCCTTCCCTCCTCCTCCTCCTCCTCCTCTTCATCCTCCGCCTCCTCCTTCTCCTCCTCCTCCTCCTCCCCCTCCTCCCCCTCCTCCGTCGTGAGAGCCTGAACCCCTTCCCGGGGACCAGTCGTTGTCTGATGGCCCCGATGTTCCGGGAAGGGCCCCGGGAGGCCAAAGGCAGCAGAAGGCCTCTCGCCGCGATGTTCCTCTCTCGGGAGGCGGAGGGCCCGAGGCTCTCTTGCGAGGAGCCTCGGGCCCTCCGCCTCCCTCCAGCCTCCTTGGCACGGCGCCCGGCAGGAGTCCCGCGGCGACTGGCATGCGCGGCCCGGCCAGAGGAGCCGCTGGGGGCTGGGCGCGGGGCCGGGCCGCCAGGGAGGGGTCCCGTGCCGTGCCCGTGCGCGGTCGCTCGTCCTGCTCGCCGTTGGGGAGATGCAGGAAGAGGAGGAGGAGGAGGAGGAGGAGGAGGAGGAGGAGGAGTTGGAGGAGCAGGAGGAGGAGGAGGACGGTGATGGTGATGGTGATGGTGATGATGGTGATGGTGGTGGTGATGATGATGCTGATGATGGTGATGATGATGCGGATGGTGATGATGATGATGATGATGTTGCTGATGATGATGATGCTGATGATGATGATGATGATGGTGATGCTGCTGATGCTGAATATGATTATGCTGATGCTGCTGATGAGATGGTGATGATGATGATGATGATGATGATGATGATGATGATGATGATGAAGATAATGATGAGATGATGGCGATGAAGATGATGGTGATGATGGTGATTATGATGCTGATGATGCTGATGATGGTGATGATGATGAACACGATGCTGGCGATGTTGATGATGATGATGTCGATGATGATGCTTCTGTTTATGATGCTGATGATGATGATGCTGACGATGATGATGCTGATGATCATGTTGAGGTTGATGGTATTGATGATGTTGCTGATGCTGATGATGCTGATTATGCTGATGATGGTCCTGATGATGCTGATGATACTGACGTTGCTGATATTGATGTCGGTGGCTGATGCTGATGATGATGCTTATGGTGATGATGATGATGATGACGACGATGATGATGATGATGATGGTGATGATGATGATACTGATGCTGATGATGATGCTTATGATGATGATGATGATGATGATGATGATGATGATGATGATGATGATGATGATGATGATGGTGATGATGCAGATGCTGCTGATGAAGCTGACGATGATAACGATTATGACGATGACGACAACGACGATGATGATGATGATGATGACGATCATGGCGATGATGATGATGGTGATGACGGTTATGGTGATGGACGTGGTAATTGCGATGGTGATGGCGATTATGATGGCGATGGTGATGAGGACTGTAATTATAATGCAGATGATGTTGGTGATGATGATGATAATGATGATAATGATAATGATGGCGATGGCGCCGACGATGCGGATGGTGATGACGATGACGATGGTGAAGCTTGAAATTTTGGTATTTGAGATGGCGATGGCGATATCGATGACGATGGTAATGATGATGCTTATCTTAATGTTGACGATGGTGATGATTATTATGTTTACGGTGGTCGTGATGATGCTTACGATGAGGAGGAGGAGGAGGCGGATCAGGAGGCGGAGGGTACGGACTGCACACAAGCGCCACATGCAGCTGGACTATGGCATGTAAGTCCACGTGGGTAAATACCATACCACAAGGCTGAAGACCAGCCGAGCAGCAAGGTAAATGGATCAGTTCGCAGGGCATGCATAAGAGGACTGCGACTCCCGCCCCGGGCTCATCAGCCACCTGACAGCGACCACGGACACGTATTCGAGACTCTGGACAACCATAATCTCATCATTACGACCTGAGGAGACGGAGAAGTGAAACACCGAAGACTTGATCATGACCAGGCTGAGCAGAGCCACGTGACTACCAGCTGAACGTGCGGAACGATCACCAGCGAACGCTGCTGCAACTGGAGTCGGGCGACTGCGATCATCACAGAGGAGGAATGGAGCAGATGCACAAGCACCCCGACAAGTAGATCCACTATCCAGCCAAGGATGATGCGACATGGTCTGTGCTCTTTCACCTCGCTAGCTGGTCAGCGACGACAAGGACAACGCCAGGACCACGAGGAAAAGGCAACCGCCAGAGACGAGTGGAAGATCTTGGCCACCAGCTTAGATGGGGCCAGCAACGAGCATAAGGGCAGCCTCAACAACGACACGATAGTCAAGCTATGGGTTGACGGAATCTGCGACGGCAAAATGGTATGCATGTTCGCGGGCCCGCCCTGTGAGGCATGCCCGCTCGCGAGATTATTGGCCATGACATGTTGTCGAGCCGCAGCCATTAGGGCCTCTTGGGGGCCTCTTGGGGCCTCCTGAGGTCCCCTCGGGGCCGAGGGCTTGAATGTCCGTTCGGGTTCCCCATACGGGCTCTCTCTTGGGGCCGTCTGGGGGCCGTCTTGGGCGCCTCTTGGGCTGTCTTGGGGCCCTCTCAAGGGCCTCTGGTGTCTCGGGGCGATCTTGGGCGCCTCTCGGGCTGTCTGGGGGCCCTCCCGGGGGCCTCTGGGGTTGTCTTGGGGCGATCTCGGGGGCCTCTTGGGCCGGGCGCCAGGAAGCCGAACAGGCGAGAACGCCAAGACCCTTCAAAAACCGACGGGAAATCAATGTGCGTTGCCTCTTGGGGCCCTCTTAGGAGGTTGAAGCGTCTTGGAGATCTTTTGGGTCGTTTGGGGGTCATCTCGGGCGTTTTGGAATGATCGTTCGTCGACTCGGGGCATCCGTGGACCGTCTTGGCTTGGGGGGCCTCTCGGGGCCCTCCTGGCCCGCCTTGGGGCCTTCTTGGGCTTGAGAAAAGCTCATGCGAGAAGCCGCGGGGAGCCCCCGACGAGCCGCGACGAGCCCCTGGAGATTGGGCAGCTTGGGCTCCGGGCCGCCGAAAGACTCCTCAGGAGTGAGGGTTGAGGCTCAGGGGGGGCAGGCAAAGGACCCGAAGGACACGCCCGATCTATGCCCAGAGGCACGGTGGCCGGTCCCTCCTCCTCCTCCTCCTCCTCCTTCCTCCTCCTCCTCCTCCTCCTCCTCCTCCTCCTCCTCCTCCTCCTCCCCCTCCTCCTCCTCCTCCTCCTCCTCCCCCTCCCCTCCTCCTCCTCCTCCTCCCCCTCCCCTCCCGCACATGCCCATGGCCGGTCGTATTTTCGGGGAGCTCGGCACGACGGGTCTCTGACGGCGGGCCGACGCACGTGCGCGCAGGCTCTCCGGCGCGGGGCAGCGTGGGCGCAGGTGGAGAGCGCCCCGGCGCGCAGGGGGCGGCCCCAGGCTGGGCCGGTCCCGCCTCCGGGAGGGGTGGCGCCGGGCACGGGGCCGGGTCCCCACGCCCAGGGGTTGAGATCGACTGCACGTAAGAGTGGCCCTTCGCCGGAGTGACCCTTGGTGCGCGCTCAGTGGGGTCCCCCGGTCGCCGCGCTCGGTGCGAAAGTAGCGTCTTTCGCGCTTGTGTTTGGCCTCCTCGCGCCTCCAAAAAGCCGCGCACCAAAGGTCACTCCTGCCCAGGGTCACTCTTACGTGCAGCCGACTGAGAGAGAGAGAGAGAGAGCCCGCAGGGCAGCCACTCGATGGGGGCCAGGACGGCGGAAGAGGAGGACGGAGGGGGAGCAGGAGGGGGCACAGGCGGGGGGAAGTGGGCGTGTAGGCGGGGGGGACAGGCGGGGGGAACAGGCGGGAACAGGCGGGGGGAACAGGAGGGGGAACAGGAGGGGGCACAGGCGGGGGGAAGTAGGCGTGTAGGTGGGTCGGCCGGTCGGCAGGCATCTAGAGGAGGAAATTGAGGAGCAGGAGGAGGGGGCGACGGAGGAGGAGGAGGAGGAGGAGGAGGAGGAGGAACGCGACGACGACGACGAAAAGGAGAGGGATGCAGGCGGCTGTCAAGGCCAAGGCGGTCTTGTGTTAAGTGGCCTCTTCTGGCTGACCCCCCTTCGGGGTCTAGCTGCGTGCGGGGTTGAGGGTCAGGTGCGGCAGGAAGCGAGGAGCAGGATGAGGGGGAGGAGGAGGAGGAGGAGGAGGAGGAGGAGGAGGAGGAGGAGGAGGAGGAGGAGGCATAGGATGGATCAGGGGCGGGAAGAGGAGGAGGATGAGGAGGAGGAGGGGAGGAGCGGGAGGCGAGGAGGAGAAGGAGGAGGAGGAAGAGGAGGAGGAGGAGCAGGAGGAGGAGGAGGAGGAGGAAGAAGCAGAAGAGGAGGAGGAGGAGGATGTGGACGCGGCGGAAAAGGATGGGGGGAGGAGGAGGCCGAGGAGACGCGGGAGGGCGTCGGCTGAGCTTGGGGTCGGGGATCGATCATTATCGTTGTTGTTCGTCCCCCTCCTTCCCTTTCTCCCTTCCCTCCCCCCCACCCGCATGCCCCCATCCTCAGTTCATTCCCGTTTCCTTCGCCCCTTTGGCACTGCAGTCTTTCCTCTTATTCTTTCTCATCCTCGCCTCCCCCACCGCCCTGGCGAGGGCTGCCCCCCCCCCTTCGCCTTCCTCGCTTATTACTCCTCCTCCTCTTCCTCCTCCTGCCTGTCCTGCATCCATCCCCAACACCCCGCCTGCCAGCCGCCCCTCGCACTGTAAAGAGGGCGACGATTAAAACATCACACTTGTCGTCATGCTGTCATGCGTCCACGGCTGGTAGCTCTCTCCTCCCTTTCTCTCTCCAGATGTATCGATCTCTTTTCCACATAGCCTGTATCATATATCTTGTCTGTTCCTCACATTCTCCCTCGTCCCGTCATTCTCTCTCTCTCTCTCTTGCCACCCCTGTGTGGACATGAAGAGGGAAAGGGAGACGGGGGAACGGGATCGGGGGGGGTGGACGGGCCAGGGGGGAAAAAGGGCTGGCCGATTTAGGGTGGCTCTCTCTCTCTCTCTCTCTCTCCCTCTCGTTGTTTGTTGTGTCTGTTTTGTTCTCTCTCTCTCTCTCTCTCTGTCTTCTCTGTTCTCCATATCCCCCCCAATGGCGAACATACTCTGCACACGCAGTGTCTAATTGCGTTTGCCTCGTCCCCTCGTTCTCGCAATTTTTCCAGTGCACGGGGCGCGGATGGGATGCCTCTTGTCCTCGCTGCGCTCGTGGTCTCACAATTCCGTCCCTTATTCCGCCTCCTCATCCCACTGTTTATTCCTGTCCTGCCCCTTATCCCCCACGCATGATCCTTGTCATCGGTTCCCTCTGTTTCCACCCCCTCCATCATTCTCTTCTCGCCTCCCCTCTCCTCCTCTTCTCCCCCTTATCGTCCCCCTTCCTCCACTACTTTGCTCCTTCCCCCCAACATGGATCGCGCT